TAACAACGTTGACGTACTGATGTCCTCCATGATGCTAATGGATTTAATGGATCACAATTATGACAAGTAGTAACTCTCCAACTATTATATGACATTCCAATCAGATGGAATACTAAACTTGCTGTGACTGTGAAAAAAGCAACACTACCTAAACGTTCTAACCGTTTCATCTCAATAGTGTGTTTATATCAAATGACTTGTCTTTTTTTCAGTACAATTTATGTAGAAAACAAAAAGACATTTTTTTTTTTCTAAACGACTGTGTTGTACGTGATCAATCAAGCATATAACACGTGAATCGTATAGTTAACTACTGGCTAGATGAATAAATACGACCAATTAACTTATTTTTGTCAATTTTTCTCTCTTGATGAAACCGATCGAATCAGTCATTTGACGTATTTTGTTTTATAAAAACATCCATTACTTTATGTATATGTATCATCTTTATAAATATCATTAATTCGTAATATAAAACAATCTCATTTTAATAATTAGTAAAATAGAAATTAATTCAAATAAAGTATCAAAAAATAATTTTCATTTACATATCTATTGTGTTTTTATTTTTGACAATTAAATACTGAATAGAACTTTTATTTGAATCATTTAAAAAAAAAATTCTTAAAATATTTCGTAGAACTTTGTAAAGAAAAAATCATAGAATTAATTTTATTTTGATTCTTCATGAAAATTTTATATCAATAACTTAGATAATTATTGAGAGAATCGAAATTCATATAGATTTGCTAGGTATGTATCACAACGATCGAAAGAAAAAATAACAAACGAAAGAATAGCGAAAAAAAAAAGGGGCGGAAGAAAAAATGTCGAAACAACCGACGTCGATCATACAAAAATGGCGAAAAAATATATTTTCCCGGAAAATACCCTGGATGACATTAGGTGACTCTATCAAGCAGTAAGACGTGTAATTCGAGATTAGAGATAAAGCAAGAACTGATATCCACATTCACATCCTACTCATATAAAGAATCATATAGTTCTATTGTTAGTTTTGTGTCTAAATATTTTTGATTCACTATTATTTATTAGTCTACTTAAACATGGATTATTTTTCTGTATACAATAAAATATCTTCATTCCACTGATCGAAATTTTTTCTTTCGATCAATTTTTTATACCATTCGAATAAACAAGTAATGAGTTGATCTAAAAATTTGACAATATATAAACATGAATAAAATATGTTTCTATGAATAAATGAATCGACATATTATAATAATAAAAAAAAAGAAACAAAAAAAGTAAATTTAAGATTTAATCTTGTTAAGAATGAAAAATAAAAAACAAAGCAGATTAATAAAATGATAGAATAATAAAATAATGTTAATTAAATTTGTTGAAGTTTTTTAAAATAATCTTGATAATGATTAAATTTATTTTGATCATATGTTGATAATTGAAAAGCTTTTTGTGCATGTTTTAATGCATTTTGTTTTTGTTGAAGATTTTGATATGTTGTTGCTAAATTAAAATGTATATCAGATAAATTTGGTAAATTATTTATTGATAAAGATTCTAAAGATTTTTTATCATAAATTGTTTGATTAATTGAATAATAATTATCATTTAAATTGAAATGAAAATTTTTTTTTGATTTATTTAATAAAAAAAAATGAAGAGATTTTTTAAAATGAAATAAAGCTTGATGATAATTATCTTGATTTTGATATAATAATCCAAGATAACAATGATCATTTATAAGATTATTTTCACAAATATTATTTATTGAATAATCAATATCAAGAACACGTTGAAAATATTCAATTATTGAAGAAGTTTCATTTTTTTCTTGTAAAAGAAGAACATGACCAATACTTAAATATATATTTCGAAGTTTTATATCTAATGGTGATATATGTTCACATAAAATTTTTACAGACATTAAATAATGATCAAGTGCTCTTTCATAATCACCAAGTCCTTCTTTACATATATTACCTAATTGCCATTGAAAACGACTATTTTCTTCCCAACTAAGATTATCATTAACTTTTTTAAGCAGATTTTCATACATTTCTTCAATTTCACGATATTCACCTATGAAAATTAAAAAAAGAAAAAAAAAACAATTTTTAATATTCATTTTAATTTAAAAGGAAACAATAGAAAACAATTTGTTTAATTAAGATATAGAATTATTCTCTATGTTTTCTTTTCAATATTAAATGAAATCAACTTTTTATAAGTCTATAAAAAAAATATCTCTAGCTTATTATCAATATTGATTTCATTCTTGATTAAAACAGAAAATCTACATTGATAACGAGAACCATATCAAAATCATTATAGAAGAACTCATCATCGTTTTAAATGTTTAAATATTATTTTTCAAAAAATATTCTCATATCAAATGATGATTGTCATAGAAGAATAAAATTTTTTATTTATTGAAAAAATGGATTGAATTTTGTTTAAAATATTTTGCAAATGAATTACTCGAAATTTAAATTTCATATTCAAATCGTAGAAGTTTACATGAGAATCGATAAATTTTTCTATGAATAATTTCATTAACAATAAAGTTATTTATATATTAAATGAATATTATTTAAAAAAGATACATTGTCAACTATAAGTCAATCAACTGAATTCTACTATCAATGTTGATCTATGCATTGACTTGCATCTATATATATACCTTGGAAAAATAGAATTCTGTACTTTCGAAGTATACATATAAATCAATATAAAACAATCTAGAAATACAGGATTATATCTTCTTCTAGGAGTATTAGATTCACCATCCTTGCAATTCCGTATCCACTGAAGATTAACATACTTGACAGTTTATTTTTTGTATTTTTTCGAACATGCTGGAGTGTTATAAATGTATTTTTTGTCACAAGTTGTGACAAATCAGTATGTGTTCGTGAGTTTTTCAAAACTGAATATGAAACATAATTCCTAACGATAAATAAGTTTCTCTTGCCTTCAATCATACTCAAAACTAATATCCTTATTTTCATGACATATTTATATCAAATTCTCATGAAATAATCGATATCCATAAAATGATTATTGTTTATCGAAATGGGATATCTTCATTTTTCTATTATAAATAGTCCCACAGAACGATATTTGACAAAGACATTATCTCGAAGTTCAATCTATCTATTTGAAGGTGAAAAGACAATTAAAATCAAATATAAATACATTATACTCGAATTCATTTTTTTCGACTTTGAAAAACTATTTGAAATTTGTTCTATAATAATTATTCTTAATTAGATAAATAGATCTAAAATATAAGTCTGACATTGTTGAAAACAAAGATAATATATAATATTTAATTTGTTAATGAAAATATACATCATTGAAATTTTTTTTTTTTGATTATTCTACTGACCATTTTCATTGAAAATAATTGTATCACTTTCATGTTCATCTAAACAACAACAACAAAAAACCCATCTTTTCTTAATAATAAATATAAAAAATGAATACCACATAGAGTTGGTGTACATAATAAATGATGTCGACCGAAATCATCAGATGTTTGTTTTTGTGATTTGTCAGTAGATATCTTTTAATAAAAAAATATATTTAATTCAATAAAATACTTCAATGAAATTAATTCTTACCGAATTTTTATCAAGTGTTTTATGTTTAGATAATGGATAATTAAGCATATATTCATTGAGTCGACATCTATTTTTTTTTTTAATTAAATAAACAATTTTAAATATATAAAGAAAATAAAAAAATCTAAAAACAAACATTTGACAAGGTTGTCCACCTTGAACATTATAAATAGCAAATGAAGCTCGTTTTCCAGTTAAAGGTACACCTATTTTATGTTTATATTCACAACAAACGGATATTCGACAATCAATAAGACCATTTACATATAAACTTAATGCAAATGGATATTCAAAATGACGTCGAGATCGAAATGTAAATTTTTCTAAAAAAAAAGAAAAAAGACAAATTTTGTTTTTTTTTCTTGAATAAATAATAAAATAATGAGTAAACCATTTGGTTTAAGATAATTTTTAAAAAGAATAATATTTTGTCCTTCACAATGTTGTTGCATAACAGTTATTTGATAACCATTTGATTGACATAATGATTGATCATAATTAATATTTGTTTGTGGTCCAAAAAAAATCATTGTTATTTCACATTCATCTTTTCTATTTATATTAGATTTAATTAACTGAAATTTTTAATTAAATATGAATATTTTTTGAAAAATAATATTTATTAAATACTTTTGAACTTTTATGTCTTGCAGAAAGTATTGTTTTAGTTAATGAACGTGATGGATGATTTATAGATGATAGACGTGATCGAATTTCTCTATTTTCATCAATTATTTTTATCTATAAAATTAAATATTTGACTTTTTTTTCTTCTATAACAAAAAATAAATTCTAAAATCTAACTTGTTGTTGTTGTTGTTGTTGATAAATATGATAATTATTATTTGAAATACTTGTTTTAGGTCGATTATATAAAACAAAATCTTTTGAAGATAATTGTCGATATTGTTGTCTTGATTCCTATAATTTATTATTAACATTGAAATTCATTTTTTTTCTCTTGTTTTATTTAAAACAAACTTTTATATTTTCTACAAGTATTCGTTTTGCATTTGCTTCTAATTGATTACGAATATTTGCTTGTCGAAATTTTTCTAATTCCATAACACTAAATAAATTAAAATAAAAAATAAATTGAGAAAAAAAAAAAGTAAAATTAATAACCGTCGAACAACTCCATATGATAATAAAGCTCGAATATGTTCTTGTCGATAACGTTCATTAACTATTGCTTTATATTGTTTATCAGGTATAATTTCATCATATCGATTTATCTTATTAATAAAAAGATATTTCAATTAAATAAATAAATATTTATACAAATTTAAACATACAAATCCAACTTTTCGAAGATGTTTTCGAATATTTTTATTTTGAAAATATGTTTGTAAATGTGGATCATATAAACTATCATATGATCTTTATTTATAATAATGAAAATAAATAAAAACGAAATAAAAAAAGAAAATCTAAATAAGATAAAACTTACAATGGATCAGTCATTGATATATGTTCACTAGCAGTTTTAAATCTACTTCGTTTGTTTCTTTATTATTAATCAAGTGTTCTCTCTTTTGTCCTTGTTATGCTCTTATATACGCAAACAAGTAAAAAAAAAAAAACGACTGAAAAAAAAAACGAAGAAACAATTATGTCTGACAATCCCTTTTCTCTTATGTAAACCAATTCAATTACAAGGATACAATACATGAAAATATTTCAATTTTCAAAAGACATTGACATCATGCAAAAAAATTTTTCAATTTGTTGCGAAATTTTCCAAAAAAGAGAATTTCATTTATCAAAAAAAAAATTATCTTAAGTAACGAAACAGAACCAATGACCAAATTCTCTTCGAAGGTTTGTTTACTTATTTCACATATAAAAAATTCATTTATTGAAATAAGTAAGGTATCTGCATATAAATCACATTCCTATCAGAAAGATTTTATGTCATTGATTTTGCAACAAGACAAATATTTGAAAGAAAATTTTTTTCAAATTTTTATCAATTTATCAAAATTAAATCAATAGAATAACTACTATCTTCCAACTACATACAACAATAAATATTAAGTTTTCTTCTTTTTTTTTTTCAAAGAATTTCATTATTTGATTATTGTTATATTCAGACATGTATAAATTAATATTTCCATTGACAAATATAATTATTGGAATTATTTAACACATTCAACCCAATAGAACTCATCAATGAGTACCACTAGATTTTTGACAAGAAACTTAATAGAAAAAGCCTTTGTTCTTCTTAGGCAGGAGGTTACACATAATGTGTCATCTACACTGGCTTCTCCATTTTTTGAATAATTCATTGTATAGCATGATGCTTCTCATTAAAACAATCAAGACAATAAATTTCTCACAATTAGAATAGAAAGTTTTTATTGTTTTTTTTTTTTGCTGTCGCATAACTCGCTTTTCTTCATTGTTGTTCGTTGATTTTTTTGTAGTGAGATTATCATAGCGTCTTCAGATGATGTGTGCAAGCCCTTCCTTTTCTTTGAGTTTGTGATTAGCGAAATCGAAATTTCGTTTCGTTATTTTGTTCCTACTGCGCAATACACATTAGAAGAACGAGAAAAATAAACTCAAGTAATTATTCAATTCAATGTGAAACAGGTCCGCCCCTTTGTAATGATACAAACAAAAAAAAAGAAAAACAATTGACAACACATACTAAAAGAGATTAACAAGTGCATTTATCGGAAGATAAATACATATGAAAATGAATCTGTTTAAATTATTTTATAAGAAAATCGAATCACTATGAATGTGTTAAATCTATTGATAAAAAGTCTCTTTTCTAACAAAAACAAAATCGAATAACTCGATCAATATTATCGACAATTCAAAAAATACATTTTTCTTTATTTATCAAATGTAACACATTTACATTATTTTAAAATGTTTCGTTTGATTTTGATATTTGATAAATTCAGATAATGAATATACTAATAGAAAATCGACATAAGTATTTTATTATAAAATTGATACTTGTATTTTAACATATGGAATGTATCTCTTATTGAGTCAACACAAAAAAAAAACTGTAAGAATACTCTTTCTTTTTTTTAGTATATGAAGAAGTTCTATTGCTATGATAACTGTCTATAGTTATTCCATATGTTACATTTGGTTTCTATTTTCATGATAGATTAATTATTAGATTCTAATTTATAAAAATATTATTTTCAAGATCAATATTCATCATTGATTAGAATAGTGATGTATTCTATTACTGAATGGTCTAACTAGACAATATAACAACAAGAAAAAACATTTTGAAAGATTTTTTGAAATAAAAGCTTTTATTAATGTAAGTAAAAATAAAAATGATGTTAAATTACATATCATCTTAACAAAATAAATTCATCTAAGATTGAAAATAAGAATAGAAAAAATAGAATCAGATGACCTTTTTTTTGTTGTTGCTAATTCATTGAATTCTTAAGAAACAAATTTTTTATTTAATCATATTGAAGTCTATTCGAATATTTACTCAAAGATATAACCAAACTATTTATAGAAGATGTTAATTTATTGTTTTAAATGTTAGTACTATCATCGAAAGAACTAATAACACCATTTTTTGAATAATATTCTATAATAATATAGAATTAACAGTAAGCGTTTCTAATTTTCTTAACAGAAGATCATAATTAATAGTTTTAAAAAAAAACGACTTGTTTAAAAATTTGTAGGAACACTATTTTCTCATCAGTATGATTTCAAATATCCCTATCATCGAAATTTGATTAAATTTTTATTTATTTCGGTTATTGAGTTATTTAAATGTTTTTCGTTCGTTTTTTAATACCAGATAAAATATTGAATTTATCGGAATAGTCTTACTAGCATTCTTAACCAGCAGCAACGATAGTTGAAAATCAGAGTATCTTATAAATCTATTTAGGATTAGTATCTGTTTGGAAGGCAACCGATATCACGATAAAAAATGTGTATGACATACAATAAAAAGCTGAAGACAATGTATTGTCTTTCAACTGCTATTAATCATGTAGGATGCTGACAATTTAGTTTTGATAAGCTAACTATTTATTCTATAGTTGATCAATTTTAGGATTAATTATTCATCTCATTATTACTCATCAAGCTGTAGCTCTAAAAAATAATATTGGAAAGACTTCAAGATGTTACTCATTCGATTGCTTGAATTTTCCATCGACATTTCCTATTATCCTATGGACTAATCTCACCAAATCTACTATAAGAATAAATGGAACAAGCAAATCTATACGACAACAGATAACGTATGTCTTAAGATGAGATATTAGAGACAGTGACTATAAATAACTTAGCCAAGATTAGCCTAAATCATGTTGACACTGAACTTCGAAGACAACAACTGTGAAGTAGTTGATAAACAGCATAAGCTGTCAACTCTGTCAGTTGTTGTTAATAAAGCAAAATTTTTATTTAGAGGTTAAGTTAGATTTGCGTAGCCAGCGGCATCTTCTTCTCAAACAAATTTATATAAAATCTTCCGAAATGAAATTTCTTCTAAATTCATCTGAAATGTTTTGTTTTTTTTTTATTTTTAAATGAAACTATGTTTTTCAGCGTCTGAGAAAATTTTTAATTGTCAATTACGAATTTAATAAAACGATTTATGTTATAATTAGAAGTTTTTGCTCACTCTGAATATAAACTGTGAAAAATGATGAAAAGTTAATATATCGATTTTAATATTATTTTAAATAATATTGAAGAAATAAAATTTTTTTTGAATTATTTCTATTAAAGAATTGAATAAAATATTGATTTGTTTGATTGTTGTTACATATAATGATTTATTTGAAAATTTTAATTTTTTTTTTTTTTCGTTTATTGATTAAATATAAAATAAACAGACATGGTGATGATAAATATCGTCAATTAAGCGAATATAGATGAAAAAATTTATAGAATATAATAGAAATAAAAACAGTTCATTGAAGAGGAAGTAAGACATTAAGAGAACAATGTTTTTCATCAAATTGATATTTAACTTCATCTAATTTTGTTCTTTCTGGTAAAGTAAGTTCTCGATAAGTACGAAATCCTTGTTGATCTTTTGTTTCTATACGTAAATTTTGTTGATTACGAACAATATTGATTTGATCTTCTTTTTTTATATCCGGTCGATCAGTGAAATTGAGAGATAATTTAATAGAATGTTTATCATCAGATAAAACTGGATTCCATGTTTTATTTGATAAAAATTCTTCGATTGAAACTTTTTTATCTTGTTTTAAAATATCATTAACATTTACTTGTATATCTTGTCTTGATTGACGACGATAAGGAAAATTACCAGCAACAGCTTGAGCATTTTCTTGTCGAAATGTTATTTTTTGACCATCATCAAAAAGTTCTGGTGGAACTTCAATTGTTATTTCTACCATATCTTAAAATAAAATATTATTTCATATATATATTATATTAAAAAAAATTAATATACTTTTTAATTGAAGAGAATTTCGTTTAGCAAATTTATTACTAATTAAACGACGTGATAGATTTTTGTGATAATCAGTGCTATTAGTTATTGATATATCATCTTTATGAACAACAACTGTTTTTCCTCTTTCGATAAATTTTTTTGGAACTTTTATATAAATATCCTTTGGTCCAACAGATTTATTTATATTTTCGGTTTTATAAAGATCGTCAATATTGCCTGATAATTGATCATCATTTGAATCAATCTTTTCAATTGTTACACTTTTTCCAGCATTTAATATTTCACCAGGAAATTCGATTATCAATTGAATCAAATCTATATATATATATATATATATTAACTTTATATTATATTAAAAAAAATAATTAACAAATTTTTCTTAATCGATCATCATAGAAACTATATCGTCAAGTTAGAAGAAAACTTTAAAAAGTTTATCGATTGTTGTGTAAAGAATACAATAAACTAGAAATTCACGAAAAAAAAAAAATTTTTATTTTTTTTCATTTTTACTTGTTGACTAAAGATATTTCAGTTTGAATATGATTTCTACGCATGAGTCAAATATAATCTAATAATATGCAAATAGTTAATTATAAGAATCGTGCTTATTAACCTTTGATCATAGGATTAAGGTCACCTATTAACAATATAGAATATGTGCCGTATATTTCATTAGACATTTTTTTATAGAAGTGTTGAGTCATACACTGTCTGTTTACATGTATGCGTATAGATAATATCTGGGTCAGTGTCATCTGTCATCTATATTTGCTAATTTACTAATGAATAAGAAGAATATATTTTATGCATATTTATTTTTTCTCTTATTTCCTAAACAATTTGTGTTTTCTTTGATTTTAATTCTAAAATTTTTGAATAAGATAGTCATTCTCTTGTTCGTCTACATGTAAAATATATTATGTAACAAGATTTAAGAATAATATATATATGTATAAGTAGAAGATAATCATATCGTCTTTTTTACGATTTTTTTTTCTTTATCTGGTAAACAAGAAAACAACTTATCACGAGATAAGAATAAATATAGTAAATTACACTTTCATACCAAACCCATATTTCGAACTTTTTAAAAATTGATTTTCTTTGAATAAATCTCTTTAAAAATATCTTTTGCTCATAGGAATTATTCGATTTAAATAATTCATTTAGAAAAAAAAATCATTAGAAATTTTCAATTAAAACTTTCTTAGATATATATCAAAAGATTGAAATCCATCATATTCAGACATTTCATAGAGAATATTTTTATTTTAATTTAATCTCTATGATTAAATATTTAAAATTGCTCGAAACAAAAACAAATCTACTATTATATTTATTTCTCCTAGAGAAAACTTAAAATAAACAATATCATCATATTATACTCTATATTCAAATGACTATTATATTAATCTATGTATTCTGCTCTCAGTTTAATATTCAGCTTTAATCATAGTTAGATCAATTTTATTCTTAGTAAAAAATGATAAATATATTTGAAAGAAGATATTATCATTTTAATAGTAATAGGGAAAAAAAAACCTCTAAATATGATAGAAATCATCGTAGATTTATTTTTGTTTTGTAAAAGAATTTCAAAAATTGCTTAGTGAAAAAAATTAATATTTGAATTTTCTCTATATAATAGAAGTGTTTAGAAAAATCGATTTGATATAAATAATAAAAACATGATTGTTAAATAATCGGTAACAATAAACACAATATAAACAGTATTGCTAATATTTTCTATATTTAAAGACTATTTAAATAAATTAACTTGCTCTTTCTCTATTATATATATATATGAGTTACTAAATATCTATGATAGATAATAATAAAAAAAACTTACAACATTCATCATTATAAGATTCAAATTGATGATTATATACGCCTGATTTCACATCTTGCTGTTGACTATCAACAAGACATATTCCATTATTTTGTCGAACAAATTTAGCTGGTTTTGATAAATGATAACCATTTATAAATAATTCTGAATATTTTTCAATTGTTAAAGTTTTTCCGTTTCTGATTAAATCCGCGGGAATATCAATAGTTCTATTCATAATTGATCAATCTAAAAGAGATGTTTATTATATAAAAGTACATTGGGTTAAAGATAATATTAGACTTTTGTTAATACTAAGGATGGTTGATTTTGTTAGAACTATTTATAATAATATATATAGGATGAGAGGCGTTTTTCTAAAATAACATGTCATATTTATGTCATTTGTTGTTGATTATCGTACTAAACTATTTCCATAATAATCTTATCTTATTTAGTATAAATAAAAATTATTTTGCTTTCCTAAATCTAGTCAACGATGATTATGAAATTTTTCTTTTTTTTTTGTTCTAAATTGATATTTATTCTATTAATGATTAAATATATTGCTGGTATATTAAATAAAACAATCTATTTATTAATTTCTCACCAAATCAATATTCATTTGTTAATACTTATTTCACAGTATTAATTAATACAGTTGATAAGCTTCTTGTTTTTTGTCGAATAAATATTAATCAAAAATCATTGTTATAAGATATTCTTAGAAAAAAAAATTCTATTAAAATAAAAAAATCTAAACGAATAATATTTTGTTTTTGTGTTTTTGTTTCATTGAATAATTATGTAAAACAATAGGGCAAAATGTCAATAATGCATTATTATTTATAATCATGATTTTGTCTCGTCAATCAACATCTTCTACGTTGTTTTTTTTTTTGTATACTTGTATTGATATGGCAAATGTCCTCTAGAAAATAACCTCTGAGTTTTATTTTTAGATGAAAATATCTCAGAAGTATATATAGATATATTCCACCAACTGATACTGTTATCAACTTGAAGAAAACAATCTAATTATTTGTTTTTCTTAGCAAATAGAAAACGAACTAGTCTAATCGATGTTATTACTATTCAAATCTATTTCTCATGAGACAAATTCTTAAAAAACATTGTTATAGTCAGATTTATTTATGTATTATCTATAAAAGATCATATATATGATTGTTTATCACAAATACATTGTCTTAAAGTTTGACATTTTATACTCGAATAAGAAAATCGATTTTTTTTTTCTCAAATTTTTTTTTTCAAAAGAAAAAATAAGATAATTGTTAATACATGAATTAGAATCAATTTTAAAAAAAACCTATTCTCTCATTCAATGTTAAACAAATATAATAAAATCATTATGAATATAAATAATGTCTTAATAAAAAAGAAACAAATTCTTATTAATTTGTCAATTTAGTTAATGATCAAGTTCGATAAAAAATCGTTTAGCTACGTACTATATTATTATTTATACAAATGGAAAAAACATTAAGAGTCCTATTAATTATTTAAATATATAGAGAACAATTTTATAGATAATTTCTAAAACTCTGTCATGTCTTAAATTAGTTTGCAGATCAAAGAATCATATTGAATATATATATATATATATAAATATTCAATATTTATGAATGATAAACAAACAGAAAATATTTTCTAAAAGATTAATTGAGTTCTAGTTGATTATGTTTGAAAGACTTATGGATATTTTTTGTATAACATCAAAATATTTTGATTGACTTCATGGATTTCTACTTGTAATTCTATCAGTTTTATTTGTTAAAATGTTTTTTTTATTGAATTGATTATTTAACTTGATTATATTCGAGGAAAAAAAGAACAAAATCAATATGAATAAAAAATATGATCTTCTATCAATATTGAACTATTTCTAAAGTTAATCATATTAACAAAAAATAAGATAAAAATATTTTTGTTTGATAATGAAAAAAAGTTCTCTTTTGAAAATAAAATCAAATATAATGTTCGATATATAGCGTCCTCTATATATATATAAATAATATATAGTAGAGGTGTTCATTGTTAAACAATTGTTGTATGATGTCACCATTAAAAAAAAAGCGAACGAATGAATAATCATTTATAAAAATTGATGTTGTTTATTTATTTGTAACATAGAAGTAAAGTGTAAATTGTTAAAAAAAAAAAAATGTCATCATCATCAAGTTCATCTCGTAATAATCGTAATAATCATTATAATAGACAAGATTATGATGATAAAGATCCGTCAACAAATCAATTAAATGATTCAAATGAAAATATAGTTCATATTAAATTTCTTTTACCTGGAACAACAACAGGAAGTGTTATTGGAAAAGGTGGTGAAAGAATTGCTTCTTTACAAAAAGAAACAAGTACTAAAATGAAAATGTCTAAAGCAGGAGTAAGTTTTTATATTAAAAATTTCTTAATTTTTGAATAATCAAATATAATTATTTCTAAAAACAAAAAGGATTATTTTCCTGGAACACAAGAACGTGTTTGTCTTGTTGTTGGAACAATTACAAATGTTTTATCTGTTTATGATTTTTTAGCAGATAAAATAAAAGAAACATTTCCAGGTGATCTTAGTCGATCACGTCAAACTAAATTAATTATTCCAAATGCAACAGCTGGAGTTATTATTGGAAAAGGTGGTTCAACTATTGAAAATATTAAACAAGATACAAATGCTTCACTTACAATTACACCAAAATCTGAAATGCCAGAAAGGGTTATGACTATTACTGGTTTGTTAACTTCTTTTTTTTTTTTTTTGATTAATAAATATTTGATTTTTTTAAGGTGAAGATGAAGTTCGAACAAAAGCATTGGAAATTGTTTTAGAAAAAATTTTAGAAGATCCTCATCATGATAGTGTACCAAGTGTTAATTATTCAAATGATAGAATTCCATCAATTAATCCTCCATCAATTATGAATGATATTCAATCATTTCATGATCGTATGTATTCAAATTTTTATTTTATTCAATATTCATTAGAATTAATAATTAGAACATTTTTCATAGAATGTAGAAAAACATATCTTTATAATTTTAGCTATTGAAATCAATAACGAGAGAAGATTCCCAAATGTGACGTACTGTTTTCAATCGGATCTATACCAGTTAGTAGAGCTCGATAAGACTAGACGAAGCTTTCAAAAAAGATTCATTCACATACGCTCTTCTTGAGTTATGACCTTTTTACTGAATTTTCGATCTATATCATGAAAAAATTGAATTATGGGATTTTGATGTGAAATATTGTCCATAGATAGGTTTCATGCTGCTTAGAATGTTCTCAAAATTTCATTTGAAAAGAATATTTTTCTCTTGAGATATCGAATGTTAAAGACACTCTTCATCTGAAATTTTTAGACTATGGGATTTATCAATGGGCGCAATTTTAGGTCGAAACTCCATGGTTCGATTTTTTCATATATACCTTCCTAGGGGTTCGAGCTCTACTAACTGGTATAGATTCGATGGTAAAAACGACATGTCACACTTGAGAATCTTCCTTGTAAGACTAAAAAGCGATTGTTAATACTTGTTACAATTCGGATCTATACGAAAAGTAAAATAATTGATCTTGTTGATGTTTAATTGAACTTCTAACCAAAAGAATCTATCGATTGAATAGAATAGCAATATATTTTAAAGTAATAGAAAATAATAAACAAGAATTTGAATATCTATATTGATAAAAATTTGATTCCGATCGAATTGACTCTTTTAAAAATAGATTTGAGTCATTTTGTTTTGTTGTTGTTATGGTTTTCATATTGATTATTTTCCTATTTGAAAAAAAAAAAAGTAAAATATATAATTTGATAAGATGGAATACATGGAAAATTGAATGGTTTAATATCAATGAATTCATCATCAAATATGTCACTTCAATTAAGTGGTTTACAACGATTAGCACAATTAATGATGAATGCTGGTGGAACAAATCATATAACTGTTGATTCACTTGTTGTAAGATTGTTAAATTTCATAATAAATCAATAAAGAAAAATTTTTGTTTAGCATTCATTACAATCACTTGGTTTTGTTGATCCACATATAAGAGAAATAATTCAATCAATAACAACTTTAATTAATTATGGTTTAATAACAATTGAAAATCCATCTCGAACAAATATTTATTCTCCGACTGGTTCAACTCATCATCAAATGTTTTCAACAAGTCATAATAATAATTATTCATTATCACAAGTAATTCTTTTTTCGTTTTTATTTAAAATAATTTATTATTTTTTTTGTTTTGAAAAAAAAAACAGCGTGATCGTCAAGATAATTATTCTCGAAACAGTACCGATATGGATTATAAAAGATTTAAATCTGATCAACAACGAACAACTAAAACAAAACGATAGATTCTTAATGATTATGGTTTATCATTTCTTACATTTTGTAGATAATATATTCTGAGTTGTGTTTCGTGTTTTCTTTTTTTTTTTTTTGGTTTTTCTTTTTGTAAATAATTCTTACTTTACAGACAATGTTTTTCCTTTAGGAAAACATTAATCAAATATAAATAAACACAAATGAAGATTTATTTGACTGCTTAGCTGTCATTTGTGAGGTATATAGTAATCCACCCTTTAACATATGATCTTCGGTTTTTTTTTCTTTTTCTTTTTTGTATCATTTATTCACGTAAAACAGAATTTTCAAAAATAAACTTTTTTTTTTTTTTTTGTTCTTTATGAATCTATCAAAAAATATTAATTAAATTCATTTTTCGTTTTTTGAATATATCAAATTGATTTAAACAAAAGTTTTATTTTTTTTAATTATCATAAAGGATATTAACTAGACAAATCTTATTTAGAAAGAAAAGAATAAAGAAAATCTATCGCAAAAGACTGTTGAAAAATAAAACATATTTTCACTTCATATATATAAATTGTTACAAATGAGATTGTAAATATTTCATTAGAATTAGATTCTGACATTTTTTCAATATAATAAAATTAGAAAACAAAAAAACTAAACATCACCAATACATATTAAATGAAAGATTGAAGATATCAATAATAAGAACATTACGTTAGTAAAAACAAGTATCATCATTGAACAAGATATTGTTTTATATTTTAATGGATGAACCATAAATAATTGTATTGATTGTACTTTAAAAAATTTCTTCTCTATTCTTTGTTTTTTTGATTGAAACGTTTTTTTTTAATAAAAATATAATGCTTGAAACTC